GCGAGTAACACTACGTCCGAAGTATGGGTCTTCGCTTAGAGTGGGTAGGCCTGGTCAAGATTGAAGTGTTGTGTCGGCGTTTTTTTTATCGGTTCTGCGTCATGCCAAATTGCAGCGAGAAGTCTATCATCTTATTTTCCCGGGAGTCGATGTTTGTTAATATACTCACCTCGTTCGTCTTCAGTTCTTCATTCAGATGGGGTTACGTACGTTGTCATGACCCAACAGTTTTATGTATCTATAGTCAAAAATCGTTGGTCGAGTGACAGTTCTGATATGTACGGTGCGCAGTTTTTCCTATTAGTCGTCCTTGGCAAGGAGATTGAATGGTCGTGCCCCTTCGGAGCGGCCACCATCTCATCCCACCCCTGCTCCATTCTTCCACTGTCTACGCCATTTTCCAAGGCAAATTTAGGTAAGGGATAGCTGGATGACAGCTATTCCTGTGTAATCACTCGTGTCTGCGTATCGTAGCGGCATCATTATCATTGTGCTAAAAAAACGAAAAAGTTAATTATTTTTTTTTTGTTTTTTTTTTTTTTTTTTTAAAACTATATATTTTTTATTTTATTTTATTTTAATTAAAAATAATAATAATAATCTTAGGATGATTTATATTTATATTTTTATATTTATTATTTATTTATTTTTATTATTATTTTATTTTTTATTATTTTATTTTTAATTTTATATTTTTTTTATATTTTTTTTATTATTATTATTTTTTATTTATTTTTTTTATTTTTTTTTATATTTTTTATATATATTTTTATATATATATTTTAATAATATTTTTAATTTTTTTATTTATTTATTTTAATTTTTTAATATTATATTTTTTGTTTTTTATTTTTAATTTTTTTAATTATTGATTTATTTATTCATTTGTTAATTTGTGCTTTACATTTAGATTATGAAATAGTTCAAACATTTGAAAGGGATTATTTTGTTTCATCGTACGTGATTAGACGTTCGTGGTGGCCATTTTGTGTTAAAGGGTATGGGGGAGGTGGGGGAGGAACCCGTTTATGGGTGGATGGTTGCGTCGCATGCGTGTGCGTTTTGTGGTAGTTTATAGGTTAGGTTTTTATGGATTGCTTTGTTTTAGTTGTTCATGTATCTTCTGGTTTGGTTCGGGGTTCAACTAAGAAACAGGATTGCGGTTGATGTTTAGACTTCTAGGGACGATTTTCTGGCGTGCGTGGCTACGGTAAAAATATAAAAGGAGAAGGGACTTTCTTTAGGCTGCCATGTAGGATGTTGCAAGATTTGCATAGTGTGTTTTTGTGTTGTATACTCTGATAGTGTGTACCAGAGCTTGTTGTTGTGCGCATGTGGTTGTAGAATCTCTTGGTAGGAGGCTATGCTGGGGGGTTGATTTCTTCTATTATTGGTTGTGGAGTGGGTGGAAGTGCGAGGCAGTCATATTGGTGTTGGTCTTGTGTTGATTGGACGGGTATAGGTGACTTCCATCAGGAGGAGCGGAGGATGGAGTTCTCTGTGGTTTACCATGGCGTTGCGTCTGAGGATACGATACTGATTTTGGAGCACGTGCATCTTCGTGATTCTCCGGTTGGTGTGGAGCCCTGGGGGACATCTCCAGAAGGTCGGTCGATGACGCGTTCTTATGATATTCATCTGAACAGTCAGATCGTACTTCGTGTGGGCACCGTCTTTTCTTACCTACATGGGGCTTTAGTTTCTCTGTGTTTCTTCCTGCATCGGGTTGGCACGGAGATTCCTATTGAACCTCCTGAAGATGGGCAGGATGTATTGCTCCATATATTGAGAGCATTGGTAACAGCACTGGCGGTAGAGCATGGGGGGAATATAGTGCCGACAACCGGATGGGGCGTCTCGGTCGGAGATCCCCTCGCACGTTCGGGTTTATGGGGCGAAATTAAGGAGTATGAGGGTTATTAGCGGTGGCGATCTATGTTTATACTTTCATGCACGGTAATCGGTGGGTCGAGGTACCAGTGTTTTTCGCAGAATATTACTGCAGTTCATGAGGGGAGTAGTCTTTAGCAATACATGTTTCATTGATCGATAGCAAAGTGGGCATATCTTACCGTGTATAGTAACGTTTGGTGCGTGAAGGCGATGTATGAAGGGCTTGTATTGTGGGTCATGCGAATCCGCGGTTGTGGTTTTTTTTGTTAGTAAATCATACAATATTGGATGCTTTGAGCAGTTTGGCTCATATACAATGGTTAGTCGATCTCAAAAGAGTTCGTATTATTTTGCAATAGTGGTACGGGTGATGGTTTTGGTAGTTTGATAGCATGGGGTATTGTTTTGGTGGTTGGTAATCCTAGGATCATCAAGTGTGGCGTGGTGCAGTTGTTGGAGTAGGGGGGAGGAGTCATGGTAGAGAGGGGGCAGGTTTTAAACATGGGGACGCGGTAGAGGGGGAGAGAGATCAATGGAGAGAGAGAGAGAGAGATAGGGGGGGCGTGGCGGGGGAAAGCCGGGGCAGGGAAGAGCGAGGCGTGTGTGGGGACGCAATCTTAAAAAAGGAAAGTAGAGGAGTAAGATTGTCGTGGATAGAGTATTTGCGTGATACCGAGCAGTCTTATAACAAGGATGCTGCCTTGGCCAAGAATATGCCCATATTTGATCTTGGTGTGGGCAGGACGAGGGGGGATAATCGAGGTACACGGGATGGGGTAGCAAGACCGAGGGGGAACGGGGGAGAAATCTCAAGAATGAGAGAGAGGGGGTGAGTGATTGGTAGGGATAGGGGAGTGTACTGACGAGGAGCGCAAGAGCGCGAAGGTGTGGTGAGAGAGAGAGAGAGAGAGAGAGAGAGAGAGAGAGAGAGAGAGAGAGAGAGAGAGAGAGAGAGAGAGAGAGAGAGAGAGAGAGAGAGA